GAGAGAGAGAGAGAGATGTGTGTGTGGGTGTGTGTGTGTGTGTGTGTTGAGTGTATCTTCTTTTTCCAGCTTTCTGCAAGACAGTTGAAGTGTTGAAATAAATGTTACAACTACTTCCCTGCAGTAGGGTCAAGCTGGACATAATTATAATAAAGACAATAAAAATACAACTGCCTAAGAGAGCTAAGGAATTATGTTATTTTGGGGGTAGACTAGGGAAAAAAATTCTAAATCAATTCACTCCAAAGGGCATGACTAAATTGAACCTAGCAAGTGCAACAAAAGTAGGGAAGGGATTTTGTGGAAGAATATTATGCATAACATTCCTAGTCAGAAATTGTAATAAGTCCTCAACTTTTCGACTAGGTATCTCAAACGGTCGACGTATATATACATCATTTTCTTAATACACGACGTTTAAGATCGATCGTCAACTAAACAACATGTTTTCAAAATTTTTGAAGTACAAGTTTTAGTGTGTGTGATTGGCTTATTATGACTAAAGATTTGTAAGATATATAACAAGTTTGAAAGCATTTTGATCTTGTAGGTGCAATTGATTTGTAATATGGATTGTTTGTTTTTCTTATTTCAAGTCGGACCTTTTTATACATACACACACTCGATAGTAGTGTTCGGTGCAACTGTCGGCGTTGTACCCCAACTCCATACTTGCTCGTCGCATTTTAACTCGTCAAGTATGTTAGGCTCTTGATGCAGGCTTTTGCGTCAAATGACTCTCTGCTACTACCTACTACCACCTAAAATATTAAACTCAACTATACTAGTCCTAAAGAGTAAGTCCTCAACTTTTCAACTAGGCATCTCAAACGCTCGACGTAACAATTTATTATTACACAACATTTAAGATCGATAATCACTTAAACAACATGTTCAAACTTTGAAGTACAAGTTTAGTGTGTGATTGACTTATGAATAAACTGTAAGATAACAATTTTGAAAGCATTTTGATCATATTGTAGGCACAATTGATTTGTAGTTTGGATTTGTAATCTGTTCTTTAGTTCAGGTTTGACCTATTTATACACACACTCGAGTAGTGTTTAGTGTAATTGTCGTGATACCTCAACTGCTCCATACTTGTTCGTGGCATTTCAACTCGTCGTATGTGACAGGCTCTTGATGCATACATTTGCGTCAAATGAGTCTCTACTACTACCTACTACAGCGTGAAATTTAATGTGAAAGATAGTTTTTCCTTGTTATTTGTTACTACAGGCGAGATTGCATTAATGCTTCTAACAATCAGTTGTATCTTCTGTTGATATGTTATCATTTTTTTTAAATAGTTTGTTTTTCTAGTGGTTTGTTGAATCCTTTAACAACAATTCTTTGGTCGTTAGGGTGAGCAAAACCGAGCAGAAACCAAAAAACCGAGCCGAACTGTGCAATTTGGTGCGGTTTGGTTCTTTTTTTAGTGTAAAAACTTTTCGGTTCGGTTTGGTTCTAACATTGCAGTGCGTTTATAGTTTTTCATAAGTTCGATTGTTGGTTTTGTTTGGTTTGCGCAGTTTTATACCGAACCGCACCAAGTTGAATATAATGTGTAGAAGAATCAAGATTAGACCGAAAATCGAGCCGAATCGTACAGTTCGGTGCGGTTCAGTTCGGTTACTTTAGTGTAAAAAATTTCGGTTCGATTTTTTTAAAAAAATTGCGGCGTAATTCGATTATTTTTTCTGCTAAGTTTGTTTTATTTTTTTGTGGGTCTTTGCGTTTTTTTTACCGAACCACACTGTTGTTCACCCCTAGTCGTGTATCTCATCAACAACCGTGTCTTTTGCTTATCGGCTTGCTAGGATCAAACCTATTATTTGTACTCTCATTTTTCTATCGTCTTCTTCCACAACACCGTCTTACTTCTAAATAAAATCAAATGGAAGTCTAACCAACAACACAAATATTTACTTGCGAAATCATCAAAACAATACAGCTTTTTTCAATCTTGGATTGGATCTATTTAGTAAGAAAATTTAGCTTTGTCATTTTTCGCTCGTTTCCATTTCACTTGCGAATATGCAGAACAGATGGACCACATGATCTAGGATAGAATTTGATGCAGAAGACCAAAGAAAAAAGTAAATAAAACACTAATAATAAAGTAGGGAAATACTACAGTGTTATTACATAACTATTCCGTCGAGATTTGTAACTGTTAGATCATCATGTAACTATCGTGAATAGGTAATCTAACTATTACAAATACGAAATGGTTTCGTCACGGTATTATAGAACCTCCCAATAAAGTAATACATTTGCTTTAGTTAATAAATTATTAGTTTTGTACGGTCTACGTGCGTACATGCACTTTAACATGAAAAGCGTTCAAACACTACGCAATTCATCAGAAATACTTTAAAATCGTTCAAACAAAGAGATTTGTGGGAAAACTTGTTCATCCATCAATGATTAGAGAGAGCATTATATAGCCACTTAGAGATGTTAAATGGTCTTTGGCCCGACAGGTCGGCCCGTTTAGCCCGGAAAAAAACAGGATTAGGGCTTTTTATTGATAGCCCGTTTAAATCAGGGCTTTTTAGGCCCGGACCGTTTAAATCGAAGCCCGTTAGGGCTAGCCCGAAACCCGCTAGGGCTGGCCCGTTTAACTTGAGTTGGGCGTTGTAAATCTTTGCAACAAGTAAGTAATATGCTCTTAGATTCAATCTATATTACAATTTTGTTATTCCACTTCACATATAAGTATGAGTTGTAACGGATTATATTGATTTTGAAAGATAATTATTAACAATATTCTTATTTTACTCCAAACCAAAATATTTAACTCAATCAGAACGACTAATAGGAAACAAATGAGACAAAGACCTAACACATGAAACATAGTGATAGAATTTATAGTGATATAATATCGTAAAAATTTCCAGAGCGTACAAAATAAGTAGTGAAATGGTAATTGTATGTAATAATTCGAATATCTTTTTCTTTTGAAAAAAAAATATTATTTAAGAGTTTGTAGTATGTGTTCATATATGATGTGTAGTTGTGTATATAGAGCGGCAAATACTAAATACCGTTGAAAACAATCGTTAATTAGTCGTTGTAATTTTTTATATTTTTTTCCTTTTATTTTTTATATTTTTTGATACATTATTATTATTATTATTATTATTATTATTATTATTATTATTATTATTATTATTATTATTATTATTATTATTACTACTATTATTAATATTATTATTAAAGCCCGCTTAGCCCGTTTAGCTCGAAGCCCGCTAGGGTTAGGGTTAGGTCCTTTTATTGGTAGCCCGTTTAAATCCGGGCTTTTTAGGCCCGGACCGTTTAGCCCAAAGCCCGCTAGGGCTAGCCCGTAACCGCTAGGGCTAGCCCGTTTAACATCTCTAGCCACTAGTTACAAGACCCTAATTACAATATAAGAAAAATCCCTAATTATAGCCTATCAAATATTCACAGAATATCCTAGAAGATATGTACAGATTTGATAACATATAATATTACATCAACACCTCCCCTCAAGTTGGAGCATGGGGATTCTGAATGTCCAACTTGCCAAGGAAGAAGTCAAACTCGCGCTTGCCAAGTCCCTTGGTAAAAAGATCAGCCAACTGAGAATGAGTAGAAACGTGAGATGCAGAAACAAGGCCTTGAGCAAGTGCATCACGAACGAAATGGCAGTCGACCTCAATATGCTTAGTTCGTTCATGAAAAACGGGATTCGCAGCAATATGCAAAGGCCCCTGACTATCACAATAAAGACGTACAGGCTGCGAATGAGACACACCAAGACTGTGTAGTAACCCTTTCAACCATTTAAGCTCACAAATGACTGTAGCCATAGCCCGATACTCAGCTTCAGCAGAAGAACGTGCGACAGTATGTTGTTTCTTCGTACGCCAAGAGATAGGAGACTGGCCTAATTGAACAAACCAGCCACTGAGGGAACGACGAGTAAGGGGACATGTCGCCCAGTCAGAATCACACCATCCAGAGAGTTGAAGATCCGAGTCAGAACGAAGCACAATGCCTTGCCCAGGAGATCCCTTTAAGTATCGAACAACACGCAAAGCAGCCTCCCAATGCGCCTGCCGAGGTTGATGCATAAATTGAGCACGAACATGCACAGAGTAAGACAACTCAGGACGCGTAACCACCAAATAAATCAGTCGACCAACCAGGCGCCGGTAGCCCTCTGAATCGTCTAGAAGAGGACTAGCATCATCAAGAAGACGGTGATTCTGTTCCAACGGAAACGTAGCTGGCTTGGCACCCAATAAGCCAACCTCAGAAATGATGTCCAAAGCATATTTCCGCTGACATAGAAAAATGCCAGATGTGTTACGAGCAACCTCAATGCCCAAAAAGTACTTCAAGAGGCCCAAATCCTTCATGTGAAAACAGCGGCTCAAGTAACTCTTAAAGGCCATAATGGACGTAGGATCATTACCAGAGACAATAAGATCATCAACATACACCAACACTTGCAACTGCACGGAACCACGATGCAAGGTAAACAAAGAGTAATCAGAGTGCGACTGAGAAAAACCATACCGACGGAGAGAAGTCGCTAGTTTCGCAAACCAGCAACGTGGAGCCTGCTTCAAACCATACAAAGAGCGACGCAAGCGACACACCCGTCCATCATCACCAGAACGAAACCCAGGGGGAAGCTTCATGTAGACCTCCTCAGCTAAATCACCATGAAGGAAGGCATTGTGAACATCCATCTGATGAATTTCCCATTGCCGAGTTGCTGCGACCGCTAAGAAGGTCCTCACGGTAACCATTTTGGCAACAGGAGCAAAAGTCTCATGATAATCAATGCCTTCGACCTGATTGTTACCTAAAATCACAAGTCGCGCTTTGTAGCGCTCAACAGAACCATCAGATCGATATTTAATTTTGTAAATCCACTTACAACCAATAGCACGTTTCCCAGGAGGAAGGGAAACCACTTCCCAAGTACCATTATTTTTGAGAGCCTGGACTTCATTTTGCATAGCCGTACGCCAACGACTATCAGAAGCTGCCTCAGCAAAGGTACGAGGCTCAACCTCGGAAGCGAGAGCTGCCAAAAATGACTTATGGGCCGATGAGAAAGAATCACAATTAACATAATGTGCGATAGGATAAAGAGTACCTGAGGATGATGACGAAGCAGGATGTGCAGCAGAGGGACTAGGGGGACAGACAGTAGCAGTAACAAAATCACGAAGACGAGTCGAGGTGTGGCGAGTGCGATGACCACGACCCAACAGTTCGGTAGACTCAGCGGGAACCGAAACCGAAGAGCCCCCCCTGTCGTCGGAAGAGCCAGAGGTAACCGGCGGGTCAGTCACAACAGCAGGAGGCACAACCAACGTATGATCATCATCCTCGTCCAAAGTGTGAGGCCAAGTCACAACAGAAGGTGACACAGGGGCGAAAGAGTAGAGGAAGATGTCCCATAAGGAAATTATGTCTCGATAAATTCAACGTCTCGGGAAACAAAAAAAATCGCACGATCCACATCATAAACACGCCAGCCTTTTTGACCAATGCGATATCCCACAAATACACACTTACGACTGCGACTAGCAAATTTGTCCCCATGTCGATCGCGATTATAAACATAGCACAAACACCCAAAAACACGCAAACGAGAATAATCAGGCAATTTCCCATATAGCATCTCATAGGGAGTTTTGTTTCCCAAAACACGCGACGGAGTGCGATTAATCAAATGAGCAGCAGTAAGAACACAATAACCCCAGAATTGAAGAGGTAGATGGGCCTGAAATCGTAAAGCGCGAGCAATATTAAGAATATGTTGGTGCTTGCGTTCAACACGCCCATTCTGCTGAGGGGTACCCACACAAGAGGTCTCATGTAAAATACCTTCACGACGAAAATAATCAGTCATGCACATAAATTCAGTACCATTGTCACTGCGAACCATACGCACCAACGTACCAAATTGACGTTTAGCCATAGCAAAGAAATTGATCAATACCGAAGAGACCTCTGTCTTATCAGCAAGTAAATAAATCCACACACCACGAGAAAAATCATCAACGACGGTAAATAAATATCGAGATCCACAAAAGGCCGGATCCCGATAGGGGCCCCATAAATCACAATGTATCAGATGAAAAATGTCAATGCTCCTAGTATTACTAAGAGAAAAACTGTCTCTAGTTTGTTTTGCTCGAAAGCAGACATCACATGGCTTATTCAAAGCAGAAAATTGAGAATCAACTAAAGGCAAATGTGACAAGACACGATTCGATGGATGGCCTAACCGCTGGTGCCACAAATCAGAAGAAACCTTGGCCACTCGAGTAGATGCAGCAGAAACTGTCCCCCGGAAGAAGTATAGTCCCCCTATCTGCTCACCTGCTCCAGTCACCGTCCTCGAAGTGCAATCCTGAATGACACAAAACTTGTTAGTGAAGTGAGCCGTACAACCCGACGTATTCAGCAGTTGGTACAAGGATATTAAACTGCACTTTAAGCTGGGTACAAATAAAACATCACGTAAAATAATAGATGACCCCAAATGAACAGTGCCCATTTTACTGGCAGATGTCAAAGACCCATTGGGTAACTGAACTGGGCGAGCAGGAATGTCACGAACATCAGACAAAAATTCCAAGAAACCAGTCATATGATGAGAAGCACCACAGTCATACATCCAATCATATAAATTTCACTTACCAGACGACTTACTGTCATGTTTAGCAGAATTAACTAGGTGAACAAGTTGAGTCCATTGTTCATCCGTCAATCCACTAAGAAGACGATCAGAAGAAGTCAAGCCTGTATGTAGAGTCGTGCCAACCTGGACAGCCGCGGCGGCAACATTAGCCTGCACAGGAGCTCCGCCGCTACGTCCACCGCATCCACGTCGTCCACCGCGGCGTCCACCACCGCCACGGGGGTACCAGTCCGGGAAGCCGATGACCTCAAAGCAGCTGGCCGCGAGATGTCCGGTTTTGCCACATTGAGAACACAGCCGCTGTCGGCCTCCTCCACCTCCCGCAGAACCGCCGGACTGATCGGTCGAGAAACCCGTCACCGGCAGCACAGAAGCAGCCGCCGACAGCGTATGGAGAGGGCCACCACCCGTGCGACCACCGTCGACGGCACCGTCAGGCCCGCGAGAGAACAAAGTAGGGCCCGTTCGAACGGCGAAACCAGCAGCTGTGTCAAGGTTGTCGTCGGCGATCGATATGGTGCGCATTCTTTCTTCCTGGATACAAGTTGAATAAACACGATTCAACGTCGGTAGAGGATCTTGAGCCAGCAAGTTCGAACGAGTGGGGCCGTAGAGTGTGGGATCCAATCCTTTGAGAAATTGGTGAACTTTCTCACTCTCTTGCTTACGACTCCATTCAAGAGGCAAGTTGCACTTACAAAGACCACATTTGCACATGGGAGGTTTATCATAATCTGCCAATTCCTTCCAAAGTTTTGAAATCTTACCGTAGTAGGCTTCAGTGCTTATGCCCTTTTGCTTACAAGCCGCAAGATCGGATTTAAGTTGTTGAATCCGAGGACCATTATTCATTGTAAATCGCTCCTTCAAGGAAGACCACAGATTTTGGACAAGTTCTGGTTCCACCACCGAAGAACGGAGCGTGGCGTCGATGCTATTCATAAGCCATGAGAGCAAAAGAGAGTTGTTCGCCTGCCAATCTTCAAACAACTCGTTGTTGGCTGGAGGACACGCGATCGACCCATCGAAAAAACCGAACTTCTTGCGAGCCCGAAGAGCAGTGCACATACTACGGGACCATTCTTCGTAGTTGGTATCACCTTTTAATTGAACTTGAGTAATTAAAAGGCCAGGATTATCGCTGGAAGTGATATCGTAGGGAGAGATCGTTTTTCTGGGAGTAGTCTCGGTGCCAGTGCCGGCCATGGCAGCGGCAAGGAGAAGAAAAACGAGAGAAAAGAAAAAAAAATTGAAAAGATTAGCCTGCTCTAGATACCATGACAAAGAGATTTGTGGGAAAACTTGTTCATCCATCAATAATTAGAGAGGGCATTTTATAGCCACTAGTTACAAGACCATAATTACAATATAAGGAAAATTCCTAATTATAGCCTATCAAATATTCACATAATATCCTAGAAGATATGTACAGATTTGATAACATCCCCCCTATATATTAATACAGAATGCGCTGAGTCTATGCGGCTGCTTCTGGTGCTTCGGAATCCTATGTGGCAAAATTACATGCTTCGTTATTAGGCTTGGATAAATTTTAATTTAATTCCAAACCAAAAATAATTAGGTTCAGATTATCATAAATATATTGATTATTTATGGCCATGTTAATGTATCATTCCTTATTATAACTATTGAATTGTATATATATTTTAAAAGTTAATAAATTTTATATTTTTTATCAGTAATATATCAAATTAATCTTCTTTTGATGAGCTTCGATTTAACATCCATATTGTATGTATAAAAAAAAATTATATTTATCTTCATAACAATAATAAAATTATTTTTAATATTAATTAGAAAAATAAAATTATTTATCAACTAATATATTTATATTTCAAGTAGTTATATGATATAAGTTATAACAACTAATATAATATAACACATGTAAGTCATAAGTAACATATCTCATTCTAAAATATGTAGTAATATTTTTTTTGTAACTAAATTTAATTTAGTTTTTTATTAATTTTAAAATTTAAGAATAATTTTTTAACAAACACCCATACACATACACGGGTGTTGTACTAGTATAATATTACATCAACACAAACACCACGCAATATTTCATAAGAAACACAATCGATACACAGAGATACATAGTCCACTTAACCTTGACATGACACACACAACACGTTGACACGATGAGCACAAGATCCCACAACACAACAACCAAAAAAAAAAAAAAAAAAAAAAAAAAAAAAAAAAAAAAAATAGTTAAAGTTAAACTTAATTACATACTTATGATCAAATAAAATAGATTACACGAAAACACGATACTAAAATACGTGGGATATTCACCCCTAATTCTCAATAAACACTTTTCTAATGATACGGACTAACAAGGACTTGCTATATCAGAGATAAATTTGGTTGTCAAATTGAGTGTTGCTGTTGTCTTTGTAGATTAATCAGCTTATAATACGCTCCCTTTTTATTCACCGAAAGAGTAGAATGAGTACCTTGCTCTATAATCTTCCCATCTTGCAACACAGATATTTGATCTGCATTTTTAATGGTCGATAGCCTGTGGGCCACCACAACCGTTGTCCTATTCTTCATCAACCTGTCGAGAGCTTGCTGCACGACACGCTCGGATTCCACATCAAGAGCACTTGTGGCCTCGTCCAAAAGCAAGATTGAAGGGTTTTTCAAGATGGCACGTGCAATGGCTACTCTTTGCTTCTGGCCGCCCGAAAGCTGAACTCCACGTTCTCCAACTTTGGTTGAGTAGCCCTCGGGAAGGGCACTTATGAAGTTATGCGCGTTTGCAAGCGTAGCTGCTTCGATTATTTCGCCTTCAGTGGCTTCTTCTTTGCCGTAAAGAATATTTTTGTAGATAGATGTGGCAAACAGAGCTGGCTCCTGCTGCACGTAACCTATGTGCTTTCTGAGCGATTTTAGCTTGAGACTCTTTATGTCTTTTCCTGCAGTATTTTTTGCCACATGATCATGAGCCAATAGTTCTTGAAGTATTAAAAATAATCCTAGTTTACCATGTAACCATTTTTATTACTCGAATAAATGGAGGGATGCAAGTGTACGTTTAGATAAATGATCGTTTGGAATATTTATAAAGCAAAAGACATATTGGAGAAAACTTTTAGTGATACTAGTAATTCTGCTAGCATCACTAACTGCATTTACAATATGTAAAAAGAAATGCAGCCTTAAGAAAACTTTTTCGTGACACTCATAATTGGCAGAGTGTTTTTCCTGTGATTTAGAAGTATTTCTGATATAAATTTAAATTTATCACAAAACAAAAAATTAGCATCAGAAATGCTCACCATCAATCATTACTTTTCCTGAAGTAGGATCGTAGAATCTGAGTATTAGGGAAATGACAGAGCTTTTACCGGAACCACTTTGCCCTACTAATGCCATACTCCTTCCTGCATGCACTTTTAGATTAAAGTCCTTGAAAATCAGCACATTGGGTCTCGAGGGATAGCTAAATTCAACATCCTTGAGTTCGATAAACCCTTCTACTCTCGGAACTTCTTCACCAACATCATTTAATATCTCAGTCTTACGGTCGAGCACTTCAAATACAGATGCCACCATTTGGTTACCCTTTAGGAGATCGGGTGCCATGCCTAGTGCATCACCCATGGCAAATGCTGTTATGATCAATACCATAAACGATTTCATCACTGATTTAAAGCCAGCGAGCTCCTTTTCCATGAGAGTAGAACCATACCTTACAAGAATTTGAGTGCAAAATAGTAAAAACTCAGCTGGCGAAATTATTTTTGGATGATAAAATTGTTGTAAAGCAACATACCATAAGGAGAGACCGTAGGATGAGAAGATGAAAAACTGAGAGACTCCATAAAATATTCCAGCAGCCTGGCCCCGCCTGAACGAGCTATTAGAAGGTTCAATGAGTTCACGAGCATATAAATCGAGAACCTTTTCCTCCGAGCAGAATGCGGCCACAGTTCGGATGTTACTCACGGCCTCGCCAGCAAGCATGTTAGCTTTGAGATACGCTTTGTTCAAGTCAATGCCATAACCTTTCAAGAAAAGTTTCTACAAACAACGCATACAGAAACAGATCACCACAAATAAGATATGGAGTTCCATTACTGTGGAATATAAGAGGGCAAATACGAGAGATGTACCTCACTGATATGGCCACTGATTAGAAATGGATAAGTGGCAATGACAACGAGAGTGAGCCTCCAGTTCAAGATGAAGGTAATGATAAATGAGGTGACAATTAGACCCACGTTCTCCAATAGGATGGTTGACCGGTCAACCACCACAGTTCGCAACAAATTTGCATCTCTTTCTAGTTGTGATGCAAGCATAGCACTCGTATTGTTCACATCATCAAACCATCCTATCTCATTCCTCAACATAGCTGCAATGAAAAAAACATACATGCTTAAGCGAATTTGAAATTAAGTGGATCGATATATGTTGTTTACTTTCTTGACATATGTAGAAGCCAGAAACACAAGTTTCTTAAAGACAACAAGTGGTGTTAGCTATATATTTATTTTGCAAGCTTAGCTGATCTATACATTTTCTTTTTTCAGGGTTGTAAAGACAATTACCCCACTTTTTCATTTTAAGGGATTGGTGTTAATCCTGCTAACAAATATGAATTGTAAGCAGTAAATCCTATTTGATGAAAGAAAGATAAGAAATAATAGTTGGGATCAAATTTGTAATAAATTGTAGGGGTTAGATCTCAATTCTGCTCTTGATCTAGCTACTAGGATGAGTCGATATTTTACAAAAATATATATGTGAAAGGAAAAAAATTGATAAATTGTATTCCATAATAGTTTAATCCTTAAGAACTCAAAAGAAGCTTAGAACTACTTGATAAATTTATGGTCTTTAGCCTCACCCATAAACATCTTTTCTCGAACACGAAGTGTAAGCCGTTCTCCCACAATCCCAAAACACATATGTGTAATAGCATGAACAATGACAGTTATAACAGCACCACCACAGAAGAGGAATGCAATTTTTCCAATGTCACGACGTGTTGTGTCCCAGTCCATGTAGTAAGAAACAAGAGCCTGAGTGACACCCAGTGCAAAAAGTGGCATCTGTGCCCCAACAATGAATGCACAAATAGTGCCAACAACCGCATAAGGCCAGTCAGGTCCCACCATAGAGTACAGTCTCTTTGAAGAGATGTGCACAGGTCTCGTAATCTCGGGTTCATCACCACCGAATCTGATTATAGATTTCTCAGAACGGAAACTTGCACCAAAGCTTCTTGTCGAGCAAGATAATTCATGTGAATGCCTAATGCTACCTTCATGAGAGTCCTTAATGCTGCAACAATTTATATGCACATATCAAACAAGGAAAACAGGTCATAGGGCCTTATGAGCAACGGAAAAGATTGGCAGTCCAAATTTTATTAAAAAAAAGTATGGATTGCATTTTATAACCAAAACTAATTTTTTTTTTTTTTTTTTTAAATGAAGAAAACTAAAAAGTCATTCATCAGATCTACTACAGAGCATCAATCGGATTCATATCTGTTATTAAACCAATATATACATATTTATAATATCAGATACTATTATTTCCATCTATTTCCTAATGATCAAGAGGAACACTGAATAGTAAGAGATCATGATATCCCAATTTCTCCCAGCATAAGAATTATCGTCAGCAGATTCATTATAAAATTGGAGGATTTTCATTTAGCAAACTCATTCATTTCAAGTGTTTATATATTTTCTAGGAACTGGGCTGTTTATGAAAGGTTCTTGATTAAATGCATTACACTCTTGCATGACAGGGGACAAGCAAAACTAGTCACATAATTCAGGTTCTAACTGCGATACTCGTACTACAACTAAACGATGAAATTCCGTTGCTGCTTCATGTTTTCCCTTGTCATCCTAAATAACCATTTTATCCTCCATCATCCTACAATCTTCTTGAGGCCAGTTACTGAAATAAGCCTAGTCCAACATATAGAGAGATTAATCCAATCGACTGTCAACAACGAAGCACAAAGCCTCATATTTCAATTGGTGAAATGGTAAGTAAAGATTTTACTAAATTAGTACACAAATCACCAAAAATGATCAGCAACTTACACATCCGAGCACTGATCCACAACAATAATGTCATACCTTAATGATTGATCCATCGCAGAACCATGAGATGGCAGCCGATGAAGGAAAGCTGCTTCTTGGAGTTGAACAAGCGACACATAGGCACTGTTTGGCCTTGAAATGAGCTCTTCATGGCTTCCGGTTTCTACTATGGTCCCATTTTGCACAACAGCTATAACATCTGCATTTCTAATAGTGGAAAGACGATGGGCCACGATAACGGTTGTTCTCCCCACCATTACATGGTCGAGAGCATCCTGCACACTCTCCTCAGACTCTGCATCAAGTGCACTTGTAGCCTCATCCAGTAACAAGATTGACGGATTTTTAACTATTGCACGTGAAATTGCAATTCTTTGTTTCTGTCCGCCTGACAGTTGTATTCCTCTCTCCCCCACCTGCACAGTACAATCATTTTTTTTCCACAAGACAAGTTAGTAGAGAAAAATTATCTGACCATGTTTTTTCGCAATTAAAGAATTAAGTACCTGAGTTTCAAATCTATCGGGAAGGTTACTTATAAAGTTGATTGCCTCCGAAAGTTTTGCTGCCCGCATGATTTCCTCAGTAGTGGCATCATTTTTCCCGTAAAGGATATTATCCCTGATGGTAGTGGCAAACAGGGCAGGCTCTTGGTTCACCAAACCTATCTGCTGTCTGAACCACTTGAGATCAAGCTTTCTTATATCAGTTCCATCTAACAGTATATGTCCCGATATCGGCTCATAGAAACGTTCTATGAGAGATATAACTGTGCTCTTGCCTGAACCACTTCCTCCGACAAGCGCAACAATTTTCCCGGGAGGAATATCAAGACAGAGCTTGTTGAAAATCATCACATCCGGACGAGAAGGGTAGTTAAATGTCACGTTCTTGAACTGAATATGACCATCTACTTTACTCAGTCTCCTTCCATTTTCCGAACTGGTTTTACTGATAGTGTTTCTTTCAATCATCTGAAAAATGGGGTATGCAGCCGCCTTTGCTCGAATAAATGCTGTGACGTCTGGCGCTGCCAGCCCGAGTGACCTTATTGGAAAATAAAGATTGCACGGTTAATAGTTGAATCAGCCAAATAATAAACAGTTATCTCTCGTGAAGTCTATAAATGTATGGAGACTATGTGGGTACATGGAGATAGGTTGATCTAATATCATGGTGTGGATGTTCCAGTCGAAATGCCTACAAATGCTTCAAGTAAAAAACAGTAGTTTGCATCCAAGAAGAAAGTAGCATTCTTTGTCAGCTTGTCAATTTCTCATTGCTACGGTATAGTAACGCAACCTTTTACTATCTAAACGCCAAGTTCAACCAAATATAAAAGCATGCGTGATGGAAGCTATTTATGTAGTTATGTATATCAACAGACCCAATAGTTTCATGATATGTATTCACACCCAAGCTGCAAATGTGACACGATGTTTTAGGGACGAGAAAAGAGAAGCTTACAGGCCAGCAATAACGACATTGAGCATCGTGGTAAACGACTCTCCTCCACTGGCAATATTCTTGTGAACAACAATGCTGTTGAACCAAACGAGCAACGCCCACGAAAGGAAGAGAACGCAATGCAAGGCTCCGAGTCCAAAACCCTTGGCCAGTCCTGCTTTTCTCCCATATTTATAAGTACTCAACAGCGATGTTGTGTACGATTCGACTGCCTTCTCTTCTCCTGCAAATGCTTGCACGGTTCTCACGTTGCCAATCACCTGAAATCGGCAACGAAAACTGTAAAACTCAAACACACAAAATGCTCAAAAAATCATGCTTGCAAACTGCCAAACATCTAAATCCTCCACCCAAAACCTAATTCAATGCATAACAATATTGAATTCGATGTTACTATCAAACGAAAAACTGTAATAGTGTGTGGAGATAGATACCTCTTCGGCGATTTCTCCGGCTTTGACGTATGATTTTCGGACCCTGGCGATAAGGTCAGTGGCTACATAAGCGTAGATGCCGCCGGCGAGAGCAATCAACGGCACAATGGAGAGCGTGACCAAGCTGATCTGCCAAACTCTGATGAACCCTATGGCGAAGCCTGATACGAAACGGCTTATGTAATGCAGAAAGTTGCCCACCTGCCAAAGCCATTGACACAGGGAGCTTGCATCAAAATTAAAGAAGTTGTTGACAAATTGAGTAAGATTTTTGCGTTTTGTTAAGTAATTGTCATGTTTTGCCAAACAAAATTAAAGAAGTTGTCCACATTTTTGCGACAAATTACATGGCACAAAATGCATTTTTGCCAAACTGTTTAACTAAATACAAAACACTATTGTTAAGCCGTGGCTCCTCCACGACGTTGTTGGCGTCGCTCGACCACGGAATATTACCGTTTAGAGGTCCCTTAGGCATTAGCCTCCATCTTATGTACCAAAAAAAAAATACAAAACACTATTGATTGATACCATAAAACGTATTGGATAATATAATTTGTATAATTACGATAAATTATGGCCCATTAATATATGAATTATTATTGATGTTGTTATTATTATTATTATCAATATTGTCGTTGTTGTTATTATTGTCAGTATTATTAGCGCATAACTCGTGCGATGCACGACAATAAAATATTTGGCGGTGATTGTATTAGATAATGGTATATATGTTAATAACATATCACATAGAGAATTAGAATAAATCAATAAAATACAACTACATATATGTCTACATATTTAGAAAAAAAATAAAAAAAAAAAAAAATAGAAAACACAACCTTTGCTTTTATCGATTTACATGAATATAAGCTTATTTTCGTAATTTTTAAAACGTGGATTTACATGAGTATAAACTTATTACTTGATTTTTGATTTTCTTTTTGCCGATTTTAGAGAAAATCATATCATATCCCAAAATTATCCTAAGACTTATTTTTCCATTTTGTTCGATATAAAAATTATTCGATAATATTATGTATTTATCTCTTAAATATCTTAATTTTTCAAAAAAATGGTAAAAAAAAGTTAGGAATTTGAGGTTTCAAAAAAAAATTTTATGTCCTTATTTTTTTAATCCGATATGTTAAGACTAACCATTTTGGATGTTTAATAATTATAAATTTGTTGAGATTTTCGAATCCAACAATACATTGAGAGATACTCTTTTTTTTTCATAAATCTACGTTTTCGATTGTTGAGATTTGAGAATCCCAATATTGATTTGGGATATACTCTTTTTTTTTTAATTGTACATAATAAAAAAGAAGTTTGAGATTATGAGAATCCCTTTAGAGCATCTACAATGCATTGAGTTTAGTCTTACCAATATGACGTATAAAAAAACTCAAGTCTTGAATGACATGGATAAAATTATGTAAAATTAAAAAAATTCACTTTAATGCAAAGAGACTACATCGATAGTATTCGTGATGGCTTGAGCAGGTTGATGGTTTCTTATTTCATTCTGGTTTTATCGAATTATTTTTCAACCTCGGTGGCAGGTCGAGGATATTCATAACTGCCCGAGCAGGTTGATTGCATTTTATTTTATTATGGTTTTGTCGAATTGATTTTTCGATCTCAAAGGCAGGTAGATGAGATTCATTACGGCACGAGCAGGTTGATGGTTTTTGCTTGGTCTGGTCTTGTCGAATTTATTTTTCGACCTCGGTGGCAGGTCGAGGGAGTTCATTCAGAGCAGTTCACGAAGTCAGGTCGTTCGGGTTTTGAGAAGATATACAGCAGGCTTGAATTTTAAAGTTTGAACTGAGGGGCGATAGGAATGGGTGGTCTAAGAGAGTTCGAACAGGGTGATCGAAACACAACAGACATAAGTCCATAATTTCAAATTCAAAATTTCGGGGAGTGGTCATTCAGTTCTTGTCTTCGACCTCATCAGTCTTTTCGGTTTTCGACCCTAATGGTCTCGCGATTCTCGACTTTCGACTTCAGTTTTGGTGTTTGACTTCAGTTCTCGGTTTTCGACTCATCGGCGATTACTCGATTTTCGACCTCAGTGGTCTCCTGATTCTTGGTTTTCGACTACTACTTGAAATGCTTAACCACACTGGACTGGTTTTCTTCAGTCTTAGTAAGAGGTGATAGACGGTAGCTATACTGATTCCTTCAAATAGCCCTTCGAATAGAAGACTACCCCCCTTATATTTCTTTAATTGAATTTCATTTGATTAAACGAAAGTTCCTGAAAAAGTTCCGCTTTCTTTAAAAGATTCTGAATAATTTCTGTGGGCTGAGCGCCCTTTTCAAGGAAATATAGAAGAACATGAACATTTAAATAATTTTGATTTTTCAGTGGATCATAAAAGTAGGGGTAGGTTACATGTTAATATGTCCACCGGTTATGTAGCATGCACATATTGGTGATGCTAATATGTTCAAAAAAATACATCGCCAATGTTTGCATGCCTCATAAGCGGTGAACATATTAACATGTGCCCACCGTGAATAGGGGAGCATTACTGATTATAATAATTAGTATTCGACATGTGCATTTGCACAGATGTAAATAAAGTATTGTGAACTGTTTGTATGCATATAATGATTAATTATTTTTCTTTCACATTTTTGTTGGCCAAATTTACAATTAATAGAGTTGGAATATTTATTTTTTTAAACCGTTTATCTGATTGGATGTAATGTATATTTTGGTACGTCTTTTTTTTAATTATTTATTATTTATTTAAGAATTTCAAATACATTTTTTATTTAAAAAATTAAATGTAACCACAATAATAACATCTAATCACAATATACGGTCAACACATTATATGGTCAACTGTCAGTACTCAAAAGTTTAAGATGATTTTTGTAATTTTAAAGTGATTAGTGTTGATCATTTAATAATTAAATGAAATATTAAATACATAAAAAATAACGATTTTTGAAATGAAATTGGTTAAATTGCCACATAGATAAAATTAAATATGTTTTATTAAATTTTATTAGCTAGTAATTATATATACTAGTATTCGACCTGTGCATTTGCACATAAATATAAATAAAGTATTGTGAGGTATTTGTATTCATATAATGATTAATGATTTTTTGCCAAATTTACAATTAAATGAGCTGAAATATTTATTTTTTTAAATTGTGTTTATCATATTAGATGTAATGTATATTTTGATATATATCTTTTTTTGTGAAATTATTTATTATTTATTTAGGAATTTCAAATACGTTTTTTATTTTCCACAAGAAGTTAATTTAAATGTAACCACAATAATAACATCTAATCACATTAAATAGTCAATACATTATATGATCAATTGTAAGTAAATGAAAAATTTAAAATGATATTTGTAATTTTGAAGTGATTAGTGTGTTGATTATTTAATAATTAAATGAGAGGTTAAATATATAAAAAGTAACGGTTTTTGGAGGGAAAAAATTATATTGCCACATAGGTATAATTTAATAGGTTTTATTAAATACTCATTAGCCAGCAATTATATATACTAGTATTTGACCTGTGCATTTGCACAAATATAAATAGAGTATTATAAGTTAAAGTTATAAGTTAGATACTTGTATTAAATTTTAATCATAGAGTATTATAAGTTATATTTATTCATATAATATTATAAGTAATAGTGGTATTATGTTTTAAAATTTGATTATTGGTTAAAATAAATAATATGAATCACTATATTGATTGCATCAAATGTAATAAATAATGTAATATTTGTAATTTTGAGCGATCATGACCAATTAATTTGATAAAAAAATTAAATTTATTATAACAATTGCATATGTGATTCTAAGGGATTTTACTATGACATTAAAACAAAGTATTTTGTTTAAAAAACAGTCGCTTAATCTGATGAAAGAATATAATATTAATTTTAAAATAATTAACTTGGACAAAAAGTGTTACATTATATTTTTTTATGTTTATGCAACATTCAAATATCATTTAATGTAAAATATAGTTATTAATAATGTCCGAATCCGTACTTCTCTAGTTGCTGCAGTAGCGAGCTAATAATACTTATTATTATGATACAATAAAAAAAAATATAATTATTACTCAATTAATATAAAATGTAACATTTTCTATATTAATTAACAAAACCAGTTTTTGGTAAGTTAGGTGTCACGTAGGTATAATTTATGAGGTAAAATTTAATAGATCGCTAAAAATTGTATATATATATATATATATAATGATTTTATGATACTAAATTAATAAGTTAATCTGATTTTATAATAAGTTATAGAATTTCTACTTCTTCATTGTTCCCAAATTTGTGTGTTGTTTTTGTTATAAAATTAATTTCTCAACATTATCTTATAAACTGAATGAGTTTGATTTGGGATTAAAACAATAAAGTTTTGTGTATTTTATTGTTGTGTATGAATCTCTTATTGTAATATGATGATTGTTTGATATAGATTTATCAATCGATTTAATTTTACAGGAATAAATGTATTTAAGGTTAATTTGGAAACCTATTTTTTTTTTTTTTTTTTTT